ACTGAAATTCCCAATTTGAATTAATGAAATTCCTGTTCAAACTTTCAATACTGTGCCTAATTGATTGCTTTAATTTTATTGCATATATGTGGTGGCCTATGTTGAATGAGTGGTCGAAGACAAAAAATCCATCATGATTAAGGCCGAGAGGCTGGATGGTCGCATGTATCGACCACCCCTTTGAGGGTGGACATGTGCTCGAAGACAAAAAATCCATCATGATTAAGGCCGAGAGGCTGGATGGTCGCATGTATCGACCACCCCTTTGAGGGTGGACATGTGCTCGGAGACGAAAAATCCACCATTATTAAGGTCGAAAAGCTGCATGACCGCCTGTCAGGAGGTGTTTTTGACTGTTAAAATTCATTAATAGATCACGTTTAGTCAGGTGGATGAATGGCGTTTAGTCAGGTGAATGAATGGCGTAGCTTACTAAGTTGATAAGAATAACATTAACGAACGGAGACAATGCAGACTTTGTAACGGAAACATTAAACGGAAGAAAGCATCGACTGGCAAATAGAGGGAAATAATGAAATAACAATAACATTCATTTCACAATACGGAGTATAGCGTTCAAACACGATTCAAGTTACAAGCCTATAAGTTAGCGTTTGGGTCAACGTTGGCAGTAAGGCCGGCCGAGGTCGGTTCGTGCGATGGCTCGGACTGCTGCTCCGCAAGCTCGGCTGGGCGACTTGAGCCAGAGGTCGAGCCAGCTCCGTCAGTAGATTGAGCCTGACGAGCAAGAGGAGGAATGTAGCCAGCAGGGAGCTTGAAGGTACGCCGCAGCAGATCATCCTGCTCTACGACGTGCTCGAGCAGACCGGACCACCAGTCGTGGTCATCAGGCAAATCGAGGGCGCTCTCATAGCCGACAGGAGCCTTGGGCATAGCATCCCATATGGCCTCCATATTAAACTCCTCAAACCCGTCCTCAGCGACTTGGACCCCTGCCTGCTGCATTATGGCCCCAAAACAATGGGTGCCATAATCCTGCACATCCTTCAAATATTGTGGTGACTGCTTGAATGCAGAAACCACTTGTTCGCGGTAAGCTTGTAGGAGGCGTTGGCCAGCTGTAGCATGGAAGACCATTCGTCGAGCCCGAACAGCAGCCTTGTCGACCAACGGCTTAGCCCTTTGTTCGAAGGCAATGTTCTCGCGCGCTCGCGCCGACTTCTCCTCCTCGAGCGTAGTCTCGAGGGCCTTCTTGGAGGCTAAGAGAGCCTCCTTCTCTGCTCGCTCTGCTGCGAGGGCCTCCTCGAAGGACTTCAAAGCCCCCTCGAGCGTATCTTTTTCCTCAGAGAGGGCCTTGTTACGGGCAGCCGACGCTAACAGCCTATCGTGGAGATCGTTTGCCTTGGCCATAGTTTCTTGTAGCTGTGTGCCAAGGCGAAGATTACTCCGCTCGAGAGCCGAGATAGACCGACCAGGGCTTGCGAGGGTCTGCTCGATTAGGGGCGCGAGCTCGACCATTCCCTACAAGGGCACATAGTAGAAAATGTTGGAATACTTAACAAGCGAAAGACGAAGAATAAAAATGGACAGGCATTGAGAAACAGCGAGATACCTGAGCCAGCCAGTGGGCAAGCCGTTGGCCGCGGTCGCGAAGGGAGTGACCATCGTTATAATGGTCGGGGGGACGGTCGACGGGGGGAAGAACATCCCTGAGATAATGGGAAAACCCCGGACCGTCGAGCGATGTGATCGAAAGGGCAGTTTCATCAACACGACAGCGTTTGGCAATATTTTCATCTTCCCCAGCAGCGGAGCGTTTAAGTGGATTCTCCACTAGCTGGGTCTGCTGGGGAGAAGCAGGAATATGTACGACCGGGGTCGTTTGATCGCGCGTGGGAGAACGCAGCGGAGGAGAGGACGGTTTCTCGAGCTGCTCTGATGGCTCGAGGGGCTGCTCGGTTGGAAGGTTGACTGAAGAAGGTTGCTCGACAGTTATGTTCGGGGAAGGAGAGGTCGAGCGCACAGGTTGGGAGGTGGTGGAGTCAGCAGGCTGGGCACTCGACCCCTCCGCGATAGTTTTCTTCTTCAGAGGAGCTCTCCTTTTAGGCACGGAAATAGTGGGCATCTCTGCAAAAAACGTACACGCAGGTCACAACCGCAATGAACACATGATACATAACACAAATATGGCGATGCTCAAGCCTATTTAGTAAAGATGCACACCTGGGTCGCCCTCGATCAGGATAAGATTTAAAGTCTTTTGACTAGGAAGAGGGCACGATTTATGGGTAAGCAACCCACAAAAATGCAAAAGGTCATCATCCTCCAGAACGGTCTTCGATGCAACGGGCTTGCTATTCCATACTGCAATCCGTTGGTCGAAGAGGGCGTTGGCAGGAGGCACGGAGTACTCTCGAGGGAGTTCCTTAAGCCCAGGGAGATGGGGCCAAAGGGAAAGCAGGTTTGGGCTCGACAAAAGCGAATTTGTGTTTCCAACGGGGAACGTTTGAAGGGGTATCCGAAATGAAATGGACGTCGTTGCGGCCCTTGAGGTAGATCCCTTGAGCGTGTTTCGAAGGAGTATAACAGTAATGGAAAAAATCCAGGTCAAGCCGACCTAGACGAACGCGGCAAAGGATGACGAAGATGGTAATAAATCTGATGGCGTTGGGTGGAAGTTGGTTCAAGGGTAGATCGAACCACTTGCAGAGATCGATCAAATCCTAGCTTAAGGGAAAGCGGATGCCAAGTTTAAATTGAATTTCAAAGAAAGTATAGCAGTTTTTGGGAGGATGGTCATAGGTGTCTCGTGGGCCTGGGGACAAAAAAGCCCAATTGGTAGGATAGCCATATTCTTCGGCATCCAACCAACCAGCTATGAGGGAGCGAGAAGAAGAAGAAAACTTTTTTGAAGAGGCGGATGCCTTAGCCGACTTACCCTTCTCAGGAGCAGCTGTAGGAGAAGTAGAGACGGGGATAGATGAAGAAGCAGCTCGAGCAAAAATGGAATGGCGAGAAAGAGGAATAGTGTCTTCGTCTTCCTCAGCAGCGGCTTCGGCAGCATCCAAGGCCTCTTCAACAGCGTCAGAAGCCCCGAACGCCGGTCGGCGACGATTCAAGGGGATGTGATCGAGGGTATCCCCATCCGACTCATCAATCGGACGTGTAGATTGGCGAGGAGGAGAAGGTGGGGTATAATCAGAAGGGCGTAGAACACTGAGGGGAACGGGATTGTAGATTTCCTCAACGGAGCGGGAAGGCGAGTGAGGAACAGGCCGGCGAATAGGAAAAGACGATGCGCTTGCCTCATCTTCACTGAACTGATGGCTCGGCGCGTTAGAATCAGCGGAATCTGAAAAGAAGAAGCAAAAATTGAGGGAAAGAGAAGAGGAATTAGGGTTTTGGAAAAGCAGGAAAGGTAGGTTTTTTCGGCCGCAAGCGAGGCGAGAAGAATTGGGGAAAAAGGAGAAGCAACAGGAAAATCGAAAAAATCGATAAAGTAAACACACAAAAATATAAAATTGGAGCACAGAAGACTTACTCATGGTCGCGGTGGAGAAGTGGTTGCCGGAAAGTGCTTGAACAGGCGTTGAGAGCAGGCAAGAGCAATGTGCAGAAGGAAAGTACGGAGCGCAAAGGAGGTTCAAAATCGCAAGGGTGAGAAAAGCTGCAAAAATGACTAAGTGTCGTATTTGTAGGAGAACAATTGAATAAGGTGAAGAGTTGGGAGAATAGGACCATTAGATGAAAGGAGATCCAACGGCCGAAACAATTAAAGAGGCGCAGATATCGGAGCGGCACAAAGTACGAGAAGACGGGATGATTAAAGGTACAGAGAAGGAAGACATGTGGCAGGCGGAAATCGCGCTAAAAATAAAGAGAAATGAAAAGCGATCATTGCAGGCAATAAAAGAAACCACGTGGTCGAAGGAACCACGCGGTTGAGGAAAGGTAACAACATCAACTAGAGTGATCGAGAGAGGAGACCAGAAGGCGACATCGACAAAAAACAATCGGAAAAATACGTGAAACGAAGAAGATAGCTCGGACTCACTCTTAGATCGAGTCATTCAGACTCGACCAGAGTGGGGGGGACTAGATGATATGGGATATCATATGACTAAAGAACAGACCGGCTTATCACGACGGTCAAACCGGCATAAGTAGGAAGAAAACCGCGTGGGCTAAAGGATGATCGACCAAAGCAGAAAAGATCGAGCAGAATGGCAGGGTTGGTCGAGGATCGACCTAGCGAAGGGGAGCTCGATCATGTCGAGCGCGTAGCGGGAAGGAGACAGTCGAGAGCGTGACCTGAACGCGAGTAGGTGCGTGGGTGATATCAAGGGATCCCAACGGCCTATGCAAAGGAATATTTCCCCTCAGCGTAAAGGGGGACACGTGGCGAGAACCCAGTGGTGCAGAGTAAAAGTGGCAGTAACCACCTCTGACGTCCCTGACTTTTCTGACAATACGCGTACTGTGTGTGTACGGACGGGCAGCGCGGGCAGGACATCTCACCAAATAGCCGGGCAGCTCTTAGGGCAGGTATCTCACTCCTATATATAGGGGAGTGGGTCTTTTTTAGGGTTTACGATTTATCCATTACTCACTTTGGAAAATTGAACAAACACATACTGATTTAAGCATCGGAGGCTCTTCACCGGAAAACCCCTCCGGTGTGAGAGTTTTTGTGCAGGAGCGCGGCGTTCTATCGGCGAGGAAGAAGGAGGCAAACTGATTCCGAGCCGGTTGGAGTGTTTTGCGTTACCAATGTCCTCGTCTATTTAATTTTCCCAATTATTTTAACCAATCAAAAATATAAATTAAGGAGATGTCCTCATCTTCTTAATTAGTCTTGTTGATTTATTGATCTTAATTATTTGCCTAAGTGTTTTAGTTGGGTGTTATTTGTTAATATTAAGTTGTGCCTATTTTGCAAGTCTTGTAATTGTTAGTCTAAGTATTAAAAAGGCCAAACAAGCATTTTGGCCCAAGCCTCAGCTCACCCCTTTAGCCTTTTTAACCGGCCTAAACTTCCGTCAAAAAGGAGTCAGCCCAACTGCCCGATCCATTTCCCTTTTACCAGAGAAGCAGCCCATCTCTTCATTTTGACTGAACAGCAGAACGACACATCGCGAGAATCGGTCGCAGCTCAACCGCTCTCCCAAATTTCCAGCCAAAACCACGGCATCCCCTCCAGGATGCAACCCTAAATCGTCTCTATTTAAACCACAGCAAGACCTCAGCCGCTCCCGACTTTTCCCGATCTCAAAATCCCTCGACCAAGCAGAATCGGCGATCGAAGCTCCTATTTCCGGCGACTGAGAGATTTGTTTTTTCATGGCAGGCCGACGAGCACGGGTTCCAACTAAGAGCAGCGATTTATGGACTGGAGCAGGCAGTCCCGGCGACCCTCAATTTGTGGCGAACGGCGAGGTGGCGCGGGCAAACCACGACAACAGAAGAAGCTTGGTTTCCGGTGGCTGACATGAGCCGGCTATTCAGTGGCGAGTCGAAGGCCACCTGATTTTCGACGAGTCCACCAGCGACGGCGAGGGAGAGCCAAATCTTCTACGGCTGGATTAGAATCCCGCGGCTGACGAGCAGGCCCTGTTGGTCGCAATTGAGGCTCCAATTTCTGGCGACATTTCGAGGCCGCAGACAACCCGAGAACTCCTCTGACGGGGAGCAATTCCGAGCACCACTGGATGGAGGAGCAGTCGAGAGTAACCGTCCCAGCCGAGCTTAGCATTTTCCGCGCATCAGTCCGAAGAAGCTGAGCAAGTTCCGAGTGCATCAGCTTTCCGGTGAAGAGACCCGAGCTGTCCGAGGTTGAAACGGCAGCCTTCGAGAGTCGAGAATACAGGACCGAGAGCTATTGTTTAATATCCAAACACCCCGTTTTGTGACCAGAGAGCCCCGCGTTTATCTCGTGCAGCAAGCCGAGTGTCCAGGGGCTGAATGTCATTAGCCGAGAGCCATTTCATCAAAACCGAGCCCTATTCTTTCTCTGATTTTCGTCCCTAAGAAGGTGAGATTTATACCCTCTGTTTTGGTCGAATATAAGTGATGTTATGTGCTTAATTTTCGGTGTGAAAAGTTATGCCTATGATGAGTGAAATGGTGTCTTACTTATTGAGTTGTGTTGGGATTGCTATTTTGTGTACTGTTGGTGAAGAGGTTTGATTCCATGCTGATGATATGTTAAATTTGAGTATGCATGAACAGAGTTATCACCCTTTCATTGTGCTTAGGAATTTGACATCTTTTTAGAAGAGAGGTGCTTGAATATTGTGCTCTTTGTGCCTTGATCTTTTGTGATAAACTGAGGCTGCATGCATGTGTTTATGTGCCGAAAACATGTGTTGATAAGTGATTATGTTCAATTTTGGAGGCTTGTCTGTGATGCCTAAATGTTGTTCGAATTTTTGGAAGAGAAATAGAAGCATGTTATTTTGGTATTGGCTTTAGTTAGCGGTGAATGGCCTGAGCTTCATCTTGCTTTTAACATGTTGAAAATGGTGTTGAAATTCATATTTTAGGCCCAGCCATGAGGCTTTATTGTTGTGTTCAAATTTAGGATTTAACTTTTGGGTTGAGAATAGAGAATTTGTTTACGTGAAATTGCCTTGCTTGTTTGCATTTCGGGGGCTGTTATATGGATATGTTGTGCGTAGTTCATTTGCCTAAATTATGTCAAGTATGCTGAGCCTTTGTGCAGGATGATAGGTCCTCTGTATTGCTCCATTTTAGTTAAGTTTAAATTTCTTTTCATTGCAAGGTGGCCTTGTATAGTTGTTGAGCGGAGCCTTCAAAAATTTTGTGCGCCCATAACTGAATTATATGTTGTCCTATGGGCTAAAAGTGGAAATAAATTTCAATTTCACAGGTTTGAATATCGTGCTCAAGTGCTAGCAAGAATAAAATAAAGAGAAGCCTTATGTGTGTTAAAATTTCTGGTTTGTTGTGTTTTAGGCTTTGATTGATCATGTTCGGTGCTCAGCCTTTTATGCGGTTTAGTTGTTGAAGTGTGCCTTACTTGTTGTGTTTGCGTTTCTTGCTTGTGTGGCCTAATCAAACGAATCAAAACCCCTAATAATAATTAAATTCTTAATCTTTAGGTTTCCGAGGAGTCGAGCCCTCGAACCTACCGTGAGCACTTCCTTTTGGTATTGTCGAACATCATGTAGGTTTTATTTGACATTGTTATGTTGTAAATGTTATAAATAACTGCTTGTTGTATGATCAATGTATGCATGTGAACCATGTAGCCTTCGACGTGAGCTGTACCGACCATCGAACGGTTATCCCCGTAGCTATAGAACGTACCCGTTAAGTAGTCTGCTTATATTATGGTGGGCCGTAAGACCAGGGCTCGGGCTCTTGGCTAGTGATCCCCGTTGTAAGACCAAGGCGAGGCCTTAGCCGGCGGGGTGGTTTTACTCCTATTGGCTGGACACTCGTTGTAAGACCAGAAGGCTGGAGCCGTGGCTTTCAATATATAGTCGGCAGTAGTCTATGCGTAGGTGTGCACATGAGTCTTGATTTATGATTTATGATGGGAGACTGGATAAATAATTGATTCTTATACATGCTGCGACCGTACCTGACTTAATTATGATTACTGTTTTTAAGTATTGATTAATGTTTACTGCTTAGTGGTGAGCACTACTGTTTCCCTATGTGCTCACTCCCACCTGAAATTAACGTTTCAGGTTAAGTAAGGCGGGCACAACGGTAGAGTAGAGCGAGTGGTGGTCGGTCTATGAGATCGGATTTATTATTCGTTATGCTTCCGCATTATGAACTGATTTATGATATAAGAACTTGGGATAATATTGAATTTATGTTTTATGGATATTATGATTAGAATAATGTTGGGAGATGCCTCGTGAACATTGTGGAGATTTATGGTAACCCGGTTCGGGTAATTAATGAATTTATGAGATCCCGTTTTAGGAGTTTAATGATTGACAATTTATGAGTTGATGATATGTCATGGAAATTATTTCGAAATATATGAGTAACGCCACAAATATTTGAAAGTAATTTTGAAAAAAATTTAATCTGATTTTTCTGAAAGTCCGAAATTTCTTTAAAATAAAAGTGGGGCCTTACAATTATTTAATTTTATTAGGATTTTAGGAATTAATTTTATTCGATATTTAATATTCCAAGACTTAGGAAATATTCATTTTAGAATATTACCTAGGGTTATGAGACTAGAGAGTCTTCTAGAAGGTAATGTTAGGAGAACAGAATCATGACCTAGTAGGGAATAGTTTATGGAGTAGAATTAGGATTCTTTGGCCTAATGGGATAAACCAATATTTGACACCTTCTTAAGGTCCCTAATAGAGCCTATAAATACACCATGTCCCAACCTCTTGTACATCATGTGCTAGGGCCGATTTTTCTACTTCACAAGAGAGGAAAAATTGTCTTGATCGAGAGTTAAGGAGATTTAATTAATCGCACCACCAAGATTAAATGAAGTAGGTGTCTAGGTAATCTATTAGAAGGCTTTAAGGTGATTTTTCATTAAACCTAAAAGCTCTATATTTTCCGGCCATCTTCTCCAGCCATTCGCCGCCGTCGACCACTGCCGGAAAACCGCTGCCGCCGCCGATC